CATAGATCGAGGTATCTAACTAAATTGGAGGTGTAACAGTGATGCAATCTGGATATGGGATATTAAAGACTTCAAATCCAATAGTGGATATGTCTTTTATATTAAAGGTGTAGTTCTATGTTCTTAATATAACTCAAAATTAGAAACTTTGAATAAATCAAATAGGGAAGTCAATAGACTTCACTTAGAGGAAAATTCAAAGTAAGTCTACACCTGTGCCACTAAAGAAAATGATATTGCTAACAATAAGCAATTTTAGGGCACAAAGTATACAGTTGCTCTCACCTGGAGAAATCTCTGCAGAGTGTAATATTTCTAAACACAACCTTATGGCCACATATAAAATTGAAGGTTGTACTAGAGAGCAATTGTACAGTTCATCGAGGGGAATGGGGTTTAAAGCCGAAAGCTAACGAGTCACCTTAATGGAAACCCAACCTAGCTGATTGGAGATCCCAAGATCTAGGTTCAAAGGGACAACAGAAATTCTGAGTGACTCACCAGAAGCACTGGGAAGATATAAATCTTCTACCTATTTCTATGATGAGACAGTGCTGCCTACAGCGATGATCAGGATAAGCTACGCTTTTAATGACTCTTATACCTTGAAAATTCAAGTGGGGTTTGGTAGGATACTCTTAATAAGAAGTCACCTATATGAGTGTGAAGTAAGGCCGCTTCTATGAGAACTATAAAGGCTAAGTTTTCTAGAGCACTCATTGAATACCAGGACTTGTTCAGGGCCAAAATGAACACAACAATGAGAACCAACTTTGTGAGGAAAGCTACTGTGTGTTTGTTATTGTCTTGGTTTACACAAACGGCTAAACAGTTCAAGACATCGCGTTCACTGGTTAGCCAGTAAATCCGATAGCAATACACTAGGGAAGGTTCAAAGCCAAAAGCCACCTATCCTGATGCAGTAACTTTTCGATTATACTCTCTCTAGTGTCTGCATAATCATCTTTTGCATTTTACGCAAATTGCCATTCATGTGGGGGATTGTTGGAAACGGGGGCATTAAAAACATAAACTTTGGATGAGATTTGAAATAGATTCCGTTAATAATTTTTTACGGATCTCTAGACAAGCGCGTTTCTCTCCGTAAGCAGATGAATGTGGTATATTTACTTTCTGAAATCCGTTTCCGGATGAATGAGAAATTAGCTCCAAAGTGTGGTGTTTTGATAAGCCTAAATGGGTATGCAAAATGTGGGAAGTGTTTGTCCCACATGGAAAAAATGTTGAAACAAATTGAAATTTAAATAAGCTGAGTTTAAGATTTGGGCTTGGGCTTGGGCCTAATTGTAAAGTCCAGATTATTCTTTTTTTGGAATTTTAGATTGGGCCTAATTTTGGGCTGGGCTTATTTAAATGGGTTTCACAAATGAGTAGGGTTTTTGGGTGGTTGGTTTTTTGAATTAAAAAAACTACTTTTTAGTTTTTCTAAAAGGTTACACCTTTTAAATTAAAAAACCATATTTTAGTTTTTTCTAAAAGGTTACACCTTTTAAATTAAAAAACCACTTTTAGTTTTTTCCAAAGGGTTACACCTTTTTCCGAACCATCATAACCCATAGTTGCACCCACTCGAAAAGGCACATTGTAACCTATTGGAATGGATGTGTCTATTGGTGAACAGACACCATGTGAACCATTGCAACCTATTGGAATGGATGTGTCTAATGGTGAATAGACACCATGTGAACCATTGCAACCTATTGCAATGGTTGTGTCCAATGATGAAAAGACGCACCCCATCCGAAAAGGCATTTCTATTTCTATAAATACCCCCCTTTAGATCATTTGCAAGTCATTCATTTTCATTTTCTTCTATCTCCCTCTCTAGACTAGAACCCAACCCAAGTGGGTTCAAACCTTAGGTTAAGTGGTTCGAGCCACTTCGATCCTAATCCAATTTCATCGAGCTATATTAAGATTGGTCCGAGCCATTTGGTTCGGATTACACCCAATTCAGCATTTATATAGTATATAGATGCATTTTTTAGTCAGAGAGAGTATTACACGGAGGAGGTTCGCCGTATCCACGAGTTTGTAGTGCTGCTACTGGTGGATGTAGACCGTTGTATCCTGGGAGATAGACGCCACTGAGTCCGTTAGCACCATAGCGGGGCGAATCTGTCTTAAGGACATAGTATCCAATACTAGCCTCGGTCCAGGTTCATTCCTTGCATATTATTATTATTTTATTGCTTTATTTTGTATATTTAATTAAATATAGAGTTGCATATTTAATTAATGATTTATTAGCATATTGTTAATTATCTCATGACATATTAGTATAAAGGTTGTTATATCTTAAAAGTCACATTAAGCATATATTTTACCAACATGTTATTCATGCTGTTCAAGATGGAAGTCTGAATTTTTGTGAAGCCTACCAGGTGCTTGTAGGAAGATGGTTATGAAATACAGTATAATTTAAGAAGACTGAAATATAGAGTAATTTAAGAGGAAAGTATATATGTCTTGGTATATTGCCATTTTAGCTGATGAAGCAGTGAAATGAAACGTAATTGCAGAGCCTAGATATGATTGTTTAAATTTGGCTCAGACTAATTGCTGAGCTCTAAACTCACTTTGTTTAGTCAATTTCAAGCTCCAACTTGAGCTCATTATCAAACTCAGCTCAAACTCGTTTTTGAAATATTGACGAGGAAAAAAAAGAGGTGATAACGTGAGATATATATATATATATATATATATATATTCTTTTTCATGGACAAAAAATTCATTCACTCCCTTCGTTCCTTACGAGATTCAAGCCCTTATTATTCTTTTTGTGAGGCATTAGGCTACACAAGCTTTGATAAAACAAAAAGAGGTAATAATTGCACTTCTCTTTTAATTAAATTTATTCCAAACTGAATGATATGAGTATCCCTAGCTCATAAATATAAAAAAATCAGGTGTTCGGAGTATAAAATAAACAAGTTTTTATAAAACTAAACGTGCTTGCAATCCTTAATGATATTGTTCATGAAACAAAAAGCCTATCCAAGCCATGATTTGTTTGGACTAGGATCCTTTACTTTAATGAGCTCAAAAATATTGTTTGAGCTAAGCTCTTTTACTTGACAAATAAATGCAAATTGATTAATAAACGATTCGAACTTAATTGTTTATGAACAATTCAGTTAATTTGAAACTCTGCCACGAAAGTTAGTCTAATTATGCAAATTCTCATCCTTATTCATGACATCTTTGCCATGACTGATAGCCAATTCTAAAAGGATCATCAATTGGAATTGTTCCACAAAGATTGTTATCAGAAACATCACTGTAAAATTTAGTATTCAAATTATAACTTGTACAAAAATTGAGAGCCAAATAAATTTAGGAGACAGATACATTTAGATCTTTGTTTATTTTCCAAGTGAACTTAGGTTATGTTTGGTTGTGTGGAATTAGAGCCTTGAAATTAAAATTTAAGGAATTGAAGAAAAGTTAGGTTCAAAATTACAGAAAATTGAACTAAAATTTTTTGTAGTTCCATCAATTTCAATTTTAAGGCTCCAATTCCATGCAACGGAAGATAGTCTCACGAAAAAAAAAGACTTTTAGGTTAGAAAGAGTGATAATATCCCTTGGAATTGATCCTGTTAGCTTCTGTGTATTCAAACTTTATCATAATGGGATTATTAAAGAGCTCAACAATTGCAGTATGATTGTTTAGAGTATACATGCTTGCAGAAATTTGAGAGGGTGGCCTACTTGGTTTAGTTCTCAAATGAACTAAAAAAAAAAATTGTACAAAAATTACTTGATTGACGATTATTTATTTATTTATTATTTTTTTCTCTTTTGAAAACTCAATCTAGAAAGTGTCAATCTTCGAAGAACTTTTACGAAAATTGAATCAAGGAAGCTTCGGGCTCAAGTATGTTGTTATACAAAAGCAATGCTAACAAGGTTTTTCAAGTTAAATTTCTTGGACCCAAAAAAAAAGGTTTTTCATGCTAACCGATTCCCTATGAAATCTTGTACTAAATATCTTTATTTTTTTTTTTATACCATTACTTAACCTTTGAAAAAGATTAAAAAAAAAAAAATTACTTAGGAATTTTTCCAACTCCTATACTAGAAAAAGGGTTGGCCAGCCTAGGAGGCTCTATCATATTAGAGTCTGAAAATGTTTCCGTGTCAAAGGCCTATTTTTATAAAATTCTCACTAAGAGGTTTACGTCTTTCCTTCTGTTATTAGAAGTTTTTTGTCCTACATGAAATTTGAAGGAAAATGTATTGAGTTTATAAGCACGTAGATATAACTTAAATTTGTGAGTCAAATGAAAAATAAGTCTTATCCATATCCATATCCGAGTTTATCCATTAACAAATTATCCATATTCGAGTTTATTATTTATCTCCAACTCGATAAGAAGTATATTTTTTTTGTTAAAAATGTCAAAATAAATTTTAAAAAGCTAAAAGAGAAAGAGTGGAAGAAAATAATTAGAAAAAATAAAGAAAAGCTTACATACTTAAGAATTCTAATATTTTAAATGACAAAATTTTATGTAAGAAACATTTATGTTATTTTTTTCACCAACTCTACACCAATTGAATGACATATAATATATGCATGGTATATTTTGTATTATATTTAATCTGATAATTTATTAATAATTCGAATTCGTTAATATGTTAATTTAATCCAAATTCAATTTATTGGGATCAAATTTGAATTGAAATTAATGCGGACTGGGAATTTAATATGGTGTTGGAAAGTTAGGAGTTGACCATAATTAATGCCGACTTGGGTTCTAGACTTCAAGATCTACATGATATTGAAAGTTTAGAGGTGTTTGTTTATAAATTTGTAAACATTTGTGGAGTATCTATTATTTCAGATAACTATAGACGTGGATTTTACTTACGTGTCACTTTATTATTGGCACAGTTCATCTTATCCACGTCACACTCCGGTAGGAGATACCCACCGAATAATTTCCCAAAACGAGACTCAACAATGATCTCTATCTCCCTCCTTTTCCTCTCCTTATCCGGGAAGGTTATCAGTAGTTTCTCTCCTCTCTAAAATTTTCTCTCTCTAACCCTGTCTCTCTCATCTGATTTTCTTCGAAGGTTACCAGCAATCTCTCTCTAAAACCCTCTCCCGCCTGCGGTTTCATTGAAAGTACCGTTAGGTTTCGCTGTGTTTGAATTATCTTCCTCCAATTCGCTTCTATATATAGTCGTGTTTGGCGTCGAATCGAGTCACCGGAAGAGAAAGGTGTGTGGACGTTGCATGACGACCGCTTCGGAACTGTTCTACAATCGGAGGTCTCGTTTGGGCCGAAACACCATTGAATTAGGGCTCGATTCTTCTCTCGATCGAAGTATTCATCACAATCAAAGCAATCGTCGCAATCATCACAACAACAACAACAACAACAACAAGAGCAGCAACAACAATAGCAGCCGTCGAGATCGTCACGATCCGGACGGATGTGATCCTCTCCGTCGATCTCCCCATATCAGGCTTCCATCTCATCGCCCTTCTCATCCGGTAAAAAGCACTTTTGATTTCTCATGGTTTCTTTTGCTTTAACAAAATACAATCTGCACAAATTATTTTCTCCGAGTTTCTGTCACTATATATTGTTTTTATTTGTAATTTCTCAAACGGACTCGTATATATCATGAGGTTGAATCTGGGACTGAAACGTTGAATTTGAATTAACAAGGACTTTATTGAAAGGATGCAGTTTGTAGCTTGAGACTATTTGGAATAATAGATTCTTACTTATTAATGATAATTATATTTTGGAATGGGAACTTTATTGAAAGAATATGAGGACATGCCTCAAATTTCCAGATTTTTTAGTAGTCACCAGGGATAACTTTGCCAACCCCTACTTCTCTGGATAATGCACATAATTTATTAAAAATAAATAAGCCAAATTTGAGTCCGGCTGTTCTGTGTAGGTCAAAATTTTGTATTTCTTAGCTACATTTCTAAATATTATCAGATAAGATCTTATCCTTGGAGACCAGTTTAGATAATCTCAATTAATAATGAATTGTGAGGAGAACCAGTTCTTGGAACAGGCCCGAAGGGGAGAGCGCAATTGTCAGTAGGTTTTGACCGCTTCACTTGACATTGGGCTTCTTTTGATAGAATTTATGATGGTCTTTAAAATAAAATAGAGAGTAAGCTAGTGGTCAATGACATTACTACTAAATTGGCATGTCGTGGGAGATTTAGATAAGCTCAATGTAATTAACCTATTTATCACAGCAGTGTTATAACAAGTAAGATTACACAGCACCAATTGTTAGCTTGACTAGCATCTCGAGCCACCCTAAAGAGTAACGGTAGTGTTAAATACTGGTTCAATGGTTTTGTGTATTAGAGAGGTTATTGTTTAGTATGGTCCCGTTAATGGAGAATGTCAGGAGGGGTAATTTGTATACAGATTATTTATATTGTGGTTGCATAAACTTTTTTATGCTTGACAGTCCTAGCATATATCAATGTATTGGTGCAAAGGTCCCTGGCTCTATTTATTGATTATCTAAAAAGAAGTAAAATAATAATAATAAGATTTAGATCCATTTAGTTTATTGTATGTATTGAAAGTTGGCCTTGTTTGATGGTTTGGGCCGTTAATTTTTCAATTGCTTCTGCTGGATGCAGAGAACTTCCAGGAATCTTTTTTGAAATGAAATGTTTGATTTAGGACATGAAGTTGCTTAACTTTTGTTTGTTGCAATTGCATCATCAATTCGCTCTAGTCTTATATATAATAAATGCGGTCTGTGTGTGTATATATATGTTATTTCTTCCTGTTACATTCTAGTTGAAGTGAAGTTTTTTCAGGTAATGGATCAACTGGAACATCAGCTGGGTTGTAACTACTGTTTATATGAACTTATATTTCTTTCGAATGACTATTGCTATGTAACTTCTGTGCAAATAAATGAAGTGATTAATCTTTGGTTGTGAATCATCATTGAGAATCAGACACCTTTTATGTCATCCTTACGTGCATATTTGATACTTCAGGAACGAGAATCAGTTCGACTTGACCAAGGTGGAAGCCAATCTGCTATATTCAACCATCTCAACTCAGCAAATGTTAGCAGCATACACGATAGGGCGAGAGTCAGGGGGAATGACAGGCTTCCGGGAGCTGTAGTACTTGCAAGGGAAAGGCTTCTTGAAAGGTTGAGAGGTCCATCATCTAGAAACAGGTTTGTCCCATAACCACTTGGAAATTTGCTGTTCTTTTTATTTATATATATATTTTTTTCTCTCCCAAATAGCTTTTTCTTTTTGTCGTCTCTCTCCCTAATAATTTTTAATTTCCCCCTCTCCCCAATAACATACTTGGATTATATATTACATAATCATTCATAATTAAATGTCTTACCACTAAGAGTACAGAGGGTAATGGATATGACACGTTACGGATATGTGTGACAAGGAAATTCTTAAAAATATATGCTATGACTATGTTACGGACATGCCAAACAATACTATATATAAAGAGGATCATAAAAATTAGTTCAAGTATATGAGTACAAATTTTCAATATATATATCCTTCAGTAAATTTGATGTTCTTATTGAAGTAGAAGTGGTGTTTATTAACAGGGAGCTCTCTCTCTCTTTCACGACCTTGCATTAGAGCGTAAGTTGCCACATCACTGCCTTGTTCTCATTATTCTTCAGTAATTGGTGAGGTTATACTGATGTACAGTGATGGTTAATATTTGTCATAATATTTTAAGGAAGAGTTGGAAGACTAATTATTAAATTATTTCGTAATTGCTCTTTTTAGATGGAATGTCTTGTAAATTGTAATAAGGAATTGTGGGTTCCGATATATTAGCTATTTAGCTATGATATCTGTCTGGAGAAATTTAAGTCAGTTTGGCAATTCACTAATTCAGTGACCACCATGATCTCTCACAATTTTTAACTTATATTGTAGTACATAAAGCAATTGGACATCGATAAGGTTGTTTAAGTTCTTCAAAACATTAATATTGGAGACTTAGATGTAAACTTTGATGTTGTGCAAAGTTGGGATAAGTCACTGCAAATCATTGTGACAGTGTTTTTGGATTTTTAAGCCCTAAAATCTACAAAATATTTTTTTATGCCACCGACACAAAAGATTCTCAAAAGTTTGGCATGTACCTTTGGTTTTTCTGGTTCCCGAATCTCTAATGAAATAATGCATTTTAACTTGATAACATTTGCTTCATTTTGTTTTCCCCTGAATTTTACTTTATTACAGGGTTCCTAAGATTTCATGTTTCTATAGTCCTTGTCAAATAATTTGATTTCATTAATGTGCCATGAATTATGTTGTACTTTTAGTGGCAGACTGGTAGTAAGATTTGTTGTTGGACTTGTGTTTACACTTTGGTATCTTATTAAATGTTATGGTATGAGAACTGCATATGAGCCACTTTTTAGTGCAAGCTGAATGCAGCGTTTGATCTTTAAGACTACTGTCTAAACTATTCCCTGAAAATGAGTGCTCCTATACAAACTGCTTTTGGCATTTGTGCTTATTGAGTCAATATGAAACTATATGGTCTTCTCATAAGTTGAATGTTGTATCTGACAGTAGGCGAAGCTACAGGGCTTCATCGGGCATCAATCATGACGACTTCACTCATGGCGACAACTTTACACTCATTGATGCAGGGGACTGGGAGACTGAGACTTCCCCTCAGTGGGCAGCTAGAGTCGCTGCATTTACCGACCAGTTGTTAGTTCCAAGTGAAGCAATCAAGCGACCACCCGGACTCAGTAAGGAGGCCCTGGACTGTTTGCAACTGGAAAATTTCAGCAATACTGATAATAACGATGAAATTGGGATATCAAGGGCATCAGAGGACTGCAGTATATGTCTGGAGAGTTTCCTGGAGGGAGAGGAGCTGATATGCTTGCCGTGCAAACATAGATTCCACTCATGCTGCTTGGATCCATGGGTTCGCGCTTGTGGTGACTGCCCGAACTGTCGAACAGGTATAGTTGTAAACAGTTATAAAGAGTTGGAAAAAAGATGAAACTTCCCGGTGGTAAAATATTTTTTGAGTTCGGTTTTTCTTGCATGGTGCAAAGTTTTGGGACTTGAATCAATGGGACAGAGATACTTTTTAATTTAAAAGCTTGTAATTGTTACTTCAGTTTGAGGTGTTCTGGTTTACCTCAGTTTAAAATTAGAATAACTCGATGTATATGTGTACAGAGCATGCTTATATGAGAGCTGTTGCTTACAAATTTCTGCAAGTTGGCGCTTTGTTTGGAAAGCCATTTTACCCAAATTTATTTAAAGGATTTAATGAATTGACAGACAATTGGGAGACTTGGCAAAGGCCCTCATTTCACGTAGTTTGACAGTTAAATGCTAGTTTGGTGTTTGATGTTTTGATATAAAAAAATGATTTAAAGTGCTTTTCACAATTAAAGTACTTTTATATCTGTTTTGTACTAATATTCTTTTAAAACACTTTTAATCTTAATTTTACAATAAGAAAAAAACTAGGATTGACAAAGAAGAAATAGAGCTCAGAAATCATGCAATCCGTTTATGTTTCGGTTGAGTTGACCCATTTACAAGAATTATGTAATTTAAGTCTTGTTAAGTCATCTATTGTCGTCTATTTCACCCAAAGTGTTAACTAAAAGAAGTGTATTATTAAATTGTTTTTCCTTTTCTTCTTTTTCTTTTTAATTCTTTGATATAAATTTTTAAAAATTATTAATCAAACAAATATTTTTGAATTCCAAATTAAGATCAGATTGATTGATTAATTAAGGTCAGATTGATTGAGTCAAATAAAAAACACCTGATCACTATCAAATCCTTGATGGTCAAGGAATCCTTAACTATCACTGAACACGTGCCAATCCATTCTCTCCTATCACCTTGCCGCCAAAGAAACCCTCCCTCCTCTATAAACATCCATCCACAGAGCTATCCTCAAATCCCACAGAAGCCAACATGGCTCCTCCCCCAGGTCTACTAGGCCCACCCTCGATCCACCGCCCTGCGCCGCCATCATCCGCCGGAAAACCAAACAACCAATCGCAGGTGATTCCACGGAAAAGTCACCAATCACAGGTGATTGCACGGAAATTAAGACACCCTCTCACCTCCAAAATGACTAAACCCTTCCAAAACCCCTGTATAGACTTTTGTTTCTCCGATCCACCGCTTTCGACTCTGAACGACAGGCTCCAAAAGGCCTGGGCTCACAACCCACTGACCACACTTGAACTCATATTCCGCCTAAGAGGTCCCCAAGTCGCCGGAAAAAAGCCCGACGAAGCCTTTTACATGGCCATGCATTGGCTCCATCGAAACCACCCACTAACCCTAGCTTGCAATATTAGGGTTTTCTCGAATTGTTTTGGGTGCGTGAAAGATTTGCTCGAGGTTCTCCGTCTAGTTTTGGAGGATCAAGAAGTTTATATCTCCAAAGAAACAATGCAGAGGAGGAGATAGCAAGCAATCAAGGAAGAGAAGAAAAACCCTAATTTCTTTAGCAAGGAGAAAGCCCTTGCTAGGGCCACAAGAGCCATAGAGAAACAAAACCCTAATTTCTCTAGCAAGAAGAAAGCCCTTGCTAGGGCTAAAAGAGCCGTCAACTGGTTTGCAAACGACGCCAACTACCGGCTCTTGCATAATCAGATCTCCGAATCCATTGCAGATCTTCTCAGATCCGATCTCCGGTTTCTTGAATCCGGTGAGATCGAAAAGATCAGCATTGCTTCGAAATGGTGTCCTTCTATAGATTCTTCATACGATAAATCGACATTGATTTGTGAAAACATAGCAAGAAAGCTTTTTCCCAAATCAGAGGATGAGTATAAATGTCTCGAAGAAGCTCATTACTCTTATAGAGTGCGAGATCGGCTGCGAAAACAAGTCCTAAATCCGCTTCGAAAAGCCCTAGATAGTGCAAACAGAGCCCCTCCCACAATGGTTTGCATGAAAGAAGATGAGAAAGGAATTAGGGTTTGCGAAAAGGCCGATCAGAGGCTACGTTATTCTCCTCAAAAACTTGTTGCTTCTATGAAAGGTGGTCGACGATTCAGCATCAACAGCAAGGTTGCAGAGCTTCAATGGTGGAATCTGCTCGAACACGCGTCGAAAAAGGGATATCTGAACAACTGTTTGGCCATTTGCAATGTCTCTGCAGCAATGGGACGTGCTCTGACGGACTTGTCAATAGGAATGGGGCTACTGATCTCTGAACTAAGCCAAAAACCATGGAAGGGTAGGGTTTTCGCATTCGAATCCGATCCTAAGCTCTTACACATTAAAGGGTACGATCCGAAATCCAAGATCGAATTCATGAGGAAGATGAAATGTGTTGAGAGTGTAAACCTTTGGAATGTGTTTGATCAAGTCTTGAAATTTGCAGAGAGTAGGAAGCTAAGCCAGGACGAGATGGTGAAGAGGATATTTGTGTTTACCAATGTGGGATACGAGAAGGGAACCGACAGCTTCTCGAATTTTTGGGCGACCTTAAATAGCTACCGGAGTCGAGGGTACGTGGCGTTGCCGGAGATTGTGTTTTGGAATCTTGGTGGTTGTGTTAAAAGTCCGATGAGGGGAGAAGGGTTGGTTATTGTCAATGGGTTTTCTGAGAGTTTGGTGAGTTTGTTCTTGAAAGAAGGTGAGGTTTCAACATTAGAGAATGCAGTGAAGTTGGTTCCTAAACCAGAGGTTGTGATGGAATCAGCCATTTCCACAGATGAATTTAGGGATTTACTTGTATTTGAGTGATTTCTTATCAATAGTAACATTGGCTATTGGTTCTTTTTGGCAAAAACTTTTTGCATAGAGAAGAAATAAAAGGGACTGAATGACATATGTGATATTTACTTTTTTATTTTTATTTTTATTTTTGGAGGACTGCTCAACTGACTCCCATCAATTTCTGAGATATGAAAATCCAAGCAGCCACACATCAATTATTTTTATTTATTTAAAGTTGAATGGGTAAGCTATACATGAGAGAAGAATGTACATGAGAGTCCACGAAGGACACTGGAAGCCAGATAGGCAAAACCAAAAATACTAATGATAAGACCATGATCTCTTATTATTATAATAAATAATAATAATAATAAATAGTCTAGTGCATAGGCTTTTGCAACATATTTGACATGACAAGAATACAATGTCTTAAACCTCTCTTTCCTTTTCTTTTCGTGTCAAATTACGTGTACCCCACACGAACACGTAATCACGAATTGTTACCCTCTTGCGAGGAGGATTAAATGCTGAGGTGGTTTGAAGCCAATTTCTTGCGAGGAGAGTTAAATGTCGAGACGGTTTGGGGCCAGGATTTCATTCTCCATCCCCTCCGTTTCTGTCGGGTTTGTCAAAATAGTCCCATTCCATTTACGTAATCGATTTTCCAAAATTGCCCCAAACGAGACTGGCGAGGCAGGGCTCCATGGGGATGAGAATTTTTGCTATGCAAACTTTCCTCTTTGAATAAGAAGGCCTATTATATATAAGATCGCAGGACTAGCATCCAGTAGAACGTACCTTTTAAACTATTCCCATTGCTTAATGGAGCTAAAATGGATTTCTTTTCCCTCAATTTTCTTTGTCATCAAACAACAACTAACTGGTTCCACTTTTCCAGCAAATATAGGTCACCGGACTCAATAAATCATCATTGTCTTCTGATATGAACCACAAAATTAACATACTTTTGAACCATATATTGCACCCAATAAATTAAACAGGAACTTTCTCAACATCAATTCTGATTGAAACCCATTTTTCACACCTTTAAAACTAACTGAATACTTTAGAAACAAATGCTCAATGGATATGAGTTTAGGGCCTCGAGCCAGGGGCAGAGCTAGGATTTAATTTCAGAGGGCACAATTCACTTGTTGAAAAAAAAAAGAATTCAATAAATATGACAAATACGAAGTATAATTTTTTAAAATCAAAAGTCAAACAAGAAAAAAATAGTCGTAAAATAATATGCTAAATAAATACTGTAAAAAAAATATAGTTATAAAAATAAGAATCAAAATATTGATTAATAATATTTTAATTAAATACAACATAAAAAGAAATAAGTGGAAAAAATAGAAAAATACATAATTATACATAAGTAAAAAAAGGATTTTTTTTGAAAAAGGAAACAAAAATTAGAAAAGGAAAAATATATAGTATACTTGAAGAAGGGGATATATGTATTTTTTTTTTCTTAAAAGGAAATTAGAAGAATTTGAAAATTTTAGGGGGCCATTATTTAAAATTACCATATAAGTATATGTATAATGAGGTGCACACGGTCCCGTTGGGATAAGATTGAGAGTTTTTTAGGACTAAACCATTTATTACGGTTCCACTATTCTTGAAACCAGACCGAACCATAATGACCATGGAACCAAATTAAACCAAACCACAAAAAACTGGTTTGGTTCGATTTGGTTTGTCGGTTTCAGTTAATTTCCTTTTTATTTTATTTTTTAAAGGGTAAATTACACTGACCTCCCCTGAGGTTTCGTCAATATACACAGACCTCCCCTCTTGTTTGTCAAATTACACTGACCTCCCTTGTGATTGGATGGCGTTAACTATTGTTGTGTAATTACAATTATGTCCTTATGCATATTATATTTTATTTCAAAATTTCAAAGAGCAAAATGCCCATATGTATTTTATTATTACTTTTTAAGTCATGGAAAAAATAAAAAATAAAATAAATTACTTTTCACCTACTGTTAAATCTCATGAACTATTTCTCTCCATCTCCGTCTCTTCTCACTTCTCCACATCTTGGTACCTGGGGATGATTTAGGGTTTCTGGTAGCCTACATCACGACAAGTAAGTATGTGACTAAATGTTCATGTTTTTTTATCTTCTGCCAAATTCCCTGTATTTATCTTCTACCGAAAATTGTTATTATACAACTATACAATATATATATATATATATATATATATATATATATATATATCTTTTGATATTCACCTCTATTTTTTTTTTTTTTTTTTTTTTTTTTTTTAAGTCTAGGAATTTGGCAGATAATCAATTTCCTTACCAAAACAAATTAATAGTAAAGTTTTCCAAACAAGACCTAATAAGATTTAACTAAAGACTAAACAACGAGTTGCAGATTCAAAAAGCATGCTTTAGGTATTTAACAAGGAACGACAACAAACAGTAACAATATAATATTAACGTCGGAGGGTATTGGTGTAATTCTATTTGAGTAAGTGGGGATATAGTTGTCAAGAAGGGTAATGAAAAGGGCACTATTGTAACTTTCAATAAAAAAAAATGTTTACCTCATTGTTGACTGCGTTAACCACTAACAGCCATTAACAGAAAGGAACAAAGTGTTACTAAGATACAAACTTCAAGGGAGGTCATCGTAATTTGGCAAACAAGAGGGGAGGCGTGTGTATGTTGACAAAACCTCAGGGGAGGTCAGTGTAATTTACCCTTTTTTAAAAAAAATAATTTCTTATTTTTCCTTGTATATAATATATCAAACACTACTCTTCCAATTTAGTGTTTAAAGAACCAATAATCTCCTCTGGTCCATAATGGTTATGCTTTATTTTTGCACTATTTGGTCTTTGATTGAGTAGTTTTTTATTGTTTGGTAATTTTCATCGAGAAAAATTCAAAGAATAAGGGCACTATTTGATATTTTTCTTATTATGACCCATCATTTCGTTTTCTCTTTCTCTCTTTGGTAACTTTCATCGAGAAAAATTCAAAGAATATGGGAATTGGGTAAATTTGGAGTAGCTTTATTGAGAAATGTGGGAAGTGGGAGTAGCTTATGTCCAGCCAAAACTATAAGTTATATCATTTCTATAAATATATATATGTATAATATAAGTTATATAACGGTCCGGGTTGGGCCGGTCCAGCAGGACTCCAAACCAGGATCAGATCGTAAAATTACGGTTTCATAATTTTGGGCTCAAAACCGGACCAAACCGCTATACACTAGCCCAAATCGTTCAGTTCAGTTCGGTCTGGTCTAATTTATTAGTTTTCCAGATTTTTTGAACACCCCTAAATTGTACTCCACCCCTCCTCAGGCCAACACCTTTTGCACACAACATCCACCTTAAATCCTTTATTCCTCAAATTACTGAATTAGTCAATAATATTAGAATTTTAAAATGAGAAAGTAAATATATGTTCAATTAAGTTATCTAAAAATGGTAATGAATTTTTTTTCTAGACCTAATTCTATGATATAATAATTTTCGAAAAACTATTAATAAAACAAATCTTTTTTAATTCAAAATTAAATGGATTAATTTAGATCAGATTGATGATTTCAAATATAAAAACACGTGATCACTATCAAATACTTGATGATCAAGAATGATTGTTTTGCTCAATCCATTCTATACAAACACCTTGCTGCCCAAGAAACCTCTCCTTTATATACATGCATACAAAGTGCCCTTGATCAAGTGCCGCAGAAGCCAAGATGGCTCCTCCGCCAGGTTTATTAGGCCCACCGTCCCTCCACAGCCCGGCTCCGCCATCATCCACCGGCAAACGCAACAAATCCTCCCAAAACCCTTGTCAAAACAACTTTTTCTCCTATACGCGGTTTTCTACTCTGACCAACCGGCTCGAAGAGGCCTGGACTCACAACCCACTGACCACACTTGAACTTATACCTCGCCTAAGAGGTGCCGAAATCGCCGAAAAAAATTCCAATGAAGCCTTTTACGTGGCCATGCATTGGCTCCATCAAAACCACCCACTAACCCTAGCTTGCAATGTTAGGGTTTTTGCGAGTTTTGGGTGCCTGAAAGATCTGCTCAAGATTCTCCGTCGAGTGTTGGAGGATGAAGAAGTTGATAAAGAGGGAAATAAGATCAAGAAAGAGATAGATAGGGAGATGGAGTGGTGGAAAAACGAAATCATCGAGGAGGAAAACATAGAGAAAGTAATTCAGGAAGAGGAGAAAAACTCTAATGACTTGAGGAAGAATAAAGCAATTGCTAGGGCTAAAAAAGCAGCCGATAGATTCTTACAAGATGCGAACTACCGATTCTTGCATAATCAGATCTCCGAATCCATTGCAGAGCTTCTCGAATCCGATCTCCAATTTCTTGAATCTAGTGAGATCGAAAAGATCAGTCTTGCTTCAAGATGGTATCCTTCTATTGATTCTTCTTGTGATAATGCGACATTGATATGTGAAAACATAGCAAGAAAGGCTTTTTCCCAAATCAGATGACGAGTACAGATGTCTTGAGGAAGGTCATTACTCTTATAGAGTGCGAATTCGGCTGCAAAAACAAGTCCTAATTCCTCTTCGAAAAGCCCTAGATGGTGCCACCAGAGAAGATGAGAAAGGAATTAGGGTTTACAAAAAGTCCAATCAGAGGCTACGATATTTTCCTCACAAAATTTGTTGCTTCTTTAAAGGGTGCTGGACAATTCAGCAGCAAGCTTGCAGATCTTCATTGGCAGAAATTGATCAAACACTTGTCGAAAAAGGGGAATTGAATTTCTCAATTGCAATGGGGCTACTAATCTCAGAACTGAGCCAAAAACCCTGGAGGGGTAGGGTTTTTGCGTTCCAATCCGATCCGAAGCTCTTCAACATTGAAGGGAATGATCTCAAATCCAAGGTTGAGTTTATGAGAAAGATGAAGTGTGATAAGAATCTAAATCTTTCAAATGTGCATGGTGAGAAGTCTTGAAATTTGCAGCGAATAGGAAGCTAAGCCAAGACAAGATGGTGAAGAAAATATTTGTGTTTACA